CCGTGTTCCTGCTTTGGGTTGGAATTGAATTAGGCTCAAGGTCAGCAGTTTCATTTTGCCCGGTAACATCACCAGGAGTGGGTGCTCGATGTCGCCTGTGTGCTTTCTTTGGGCTCGCTCCTGAAGGAGTTGGATAATTACAAATCAATCCAAAGTTTGTTCAAATTTTACAACCACAAATCAATTGTCAACCAAACCATAAGTGATATTTCATTTCATTGCATTGCATACCTTGTGTTTGGTTGTGGACAATTCTTCTTCCCACCCCTGCGTCTCCGACTTTGACTTCACTTCTCATTTGTACTTGTCTTCGAAGCCCTTTTTCTTTTAACTTGAAAGGGAACTCTAAGCACCTCAGTTTGGGAACTCCTACCCCCTGTGCAGTTTATTTCTTTTCTAACCATGGTTACCACCACCCAAACAGTTCTGCTTCGTATCCAACATTTTAAAGTTAGAGATAGAAATACAGTACCTTCCTTCGATATTATCACCTTGTCATTGTCAGCGTGTTTGCCCACTTCTTTCTCTTCCGTGTCTAAAACAATGCCGCATTTGGCAGTTTAAAGCCACCTTTTCAGCATTTAACACTCCGGCAGAAACTTTATTTGTTTCATTCTCAAATACGCTAATATGTATCGACAAGGAAGTTCCCCAAACTCCATCTCTTTGTAGCTGCATTTAGCCTAACTCGAGGTTGTATCAACCACCAACCTTTTCATCTTTGTCACCCTCGTAGCCCTCTTAAGTACTTCGTATGCTGCCTCATTCTCGTGGTCGGACTACTCCCTCTAGAAACAAGTCAAACTCTTCAATTCATCCACTTGAAACTTTTCGAACATAAGGAGTGTGTACAATTTGGCCATTTGCTCTTCCATTATCATACGAAGCTGCAATGGAGGGGCATGATTTTCATCATTATGATAATCAACCACCTCTTTTTAATGTTGCCGTCCAAGGGCTCGATTGAATGAATGATGAATTCAATCAAAGAATGCTTCATGTGCACATATTGCTTGAAAATGAAATGATAACTGTAGGCAAGTCGACTGCTCCACATCTCGACGAAAAAAACGTGCTTACAAAATGTCGAAACCTATTGTGCACGCAAGTCATAAATGTCCTGAAGCCATGTTTTATCGACCAACTCACGTTCTTCTACCAACACCTTCCACCTTGCCTCAAATTCTTCTTTGCTTTTGATATTACATATGTAATCATGCAAATCCTTGAAAGCACCCCTAACCTAACCTTTGTCAGTGAACTTGTTACTAATATGCCCTATGTAGTACCGATGAAACGTGGTTTGTAGTTTGTTGCCAATAGCCTTTGCTATGGCTCCCCCTAGATTGTAATTATAACTTTCGCTGGCTTACCCGACATAGCCTTAAGCATTTCTTCAAACCACTTAAAGCTCTTGGTTTTTTTCATTTGTCAAGTATGCTCAACCGAATACCGTGGTTTGACCATGGCTGTTAACTCCTAATAAAGGAGCAAACATCATCACATAAACATTGGTGTTGAAAGTGGTGTCAAACACAATGACATCCCCAAAGAAATTCCCAAGTGTTCAATCTCCATCTTGAAATAGAATGAATCATTTTTTTTCTTTCTCATCCACAAAATGCTCTTTCAACATTTTGGCATCATGCCAGATCAGATGAGCTCGCAATTAAAATTCCACCATCTTGACTTGGTGATGGACTTGGGTGGTAGTCTAGAGATGAATCATCCTCTTGAAATGTACTCCTTGTGGCATTCCTTCGTATAATGTCCTTTTGCTTACCACATAAGTATTTTTTTTCTCTTTGGAGTGTATTTGTCGAGGTCCTCCATCATCAAATTAATTTTGAACCTTTCTTGCTCCCTATCCCCTTCTTTCTTCATGGCCAAATGCATTTGGGCCGATTCTTCTTGCTGAGGACACTGGTTTTCGTTCATTTTTGCCATTTCGCTAGCAAATTGTGCATGTATCGGATCCTGGGACTTCCCTTTTCTCTTTCTCTTTACTTCCTTTTGCTTATCTCTACCCAGGGGCCTTGCAGAAGAAGTTGGGGTCATTTGTTCGACACCTTCATTGTTGGAAAAATTCACACCTTTATTGACATCATTTGGGGGTGGGGCTTCACTATGAAATAATCTTCCACATTATTGGTTTGCATTGGTTCCCCACCTTGGACAATCCTTAAGGATTTTCCAAGCATGATGCAACTTAAAAGCTTGATTTTTTGGTGTAGTTCTTGTCTTGTAAATTGCCATTGCTTTGTCACCCTATGCAACAAATACATAAAAACAATTACTTGCAAAATACTATTATGTACATGACAACTAAAATATCAACAAAGAAACTCACAATTTCTGAGGCGCTCCTTCCACTAGGCATGTCAAACATGGCTCTCTCCAAGCTTCCCTTCCACAGAGTGCACACTTTGTTGATAATCTTCCACCGATCATAAACACCACCAACTTCCCTTCGACCAGCATTGGAGTTTTCATGGAACTTATCAACGATTTTACCCCACAAAACCTTTCTATTTTGATTCGTGCCGACGACACCATCTTCGCTAACAGAAATTCATACCAAATATAAAGCAATACCTTCGTGTAAGGTCCAATTACGACCTCTAACATGCTTTTTTGCCATCTTGAAAATTTGGAAATGAGAGGAAATGTTAGAAAGAAAAATTGGAAGAATTGTAGGAGAAAAGTGAGTTTTGTGTTGATGTTTGAACAAATACATAGGTATTTATAGAGTTTTTGGTTGAATTTTAAGTTAAATAATTATTTTAAATTATTTTAGCCGTTGGATTTAAATTTGGACCGTTAGATCTTTTTTTTTACCGTTAGATTTGATTATATTCGATTATATTCGATCTAAGCCGATAGATTCAATAAATATATAAATATAAAACTAAAAAAAAAAAAAAAAAAAATTTGAGCCTGGACCATTGGATTAACCAACGGCCCATTTAAACCAAGCCGTTGACTAAAGAAAAGTAGTCGTTGGGCTACTTGATGATCAATCTGACACTCGGGGGAACAACCCCACGTGGGTTTGTTGGATTTTTGAAAAGGCCCAGCGCGTACAGCACGTAGGCAAGTAGAGGATGGGTAGTGGGCTTCACAGCCCCAGTTTCAATCTCAGTTGGTGGGGCCCATTTTGCTTTGTGGCCTATAATTGGGCCGGTATTTGACCCCCATATGAGTTTTAGGTTTTAGGTTAATTTTGGGTCATGGGTTGGAGTGGATTTTTTTGGGGGGGAGGGGGGGCGCGAGGGGAAGGGAAATTTTAGGTTAGCCCATTGTTGGAGATGGTCTAATGACTCGTTCATAAACTCGGGAAGATGGTCTAATGACTCGCTTATAAACTCGGGAAAAGACTCGAAGCTTGGGAAATTAGGAATAAGAGTGATGGTTTTGTGTTGCTGAGTTGGATTTGTTGAGGTAATGAGGTTGGTATTATAGTGAGTTGTTGAAGAAGAGTGAGTGTGGCAGGAGTGTGGAGATTGTGGAGACTAAGGAGAAGGACCAAGCATGGGTTCCATTTCAACAAACTAGGTTCTGACAAGGCCGTGGCTTTGCTCAAGAAAATTTCTTCCTTCATCAATCATGATATGTAAATGCCTAAAAATTGGTGGTAGTTTTAATTAATATGCAAAACCATGCAACTTGAACTTGTTGACTTTTGTGTATATTCATATAATCTTGGGATTCTTAGTTTAGTATGATTTGATAAATTATTTCTTTCCTTATTGATAGGATTGTAAAAACTTATAAAACCCTCATTAAGATTTGAATAGACACACAAATTATTCCAAATGAGCATTCTCTTCTCGGCACCATATCCTAGGTTAGAAAAGAAAAAAAAGATGCGCATCCATAGTTGTGTAGTGCCATATGACCAGCGAGCAATGTTGTCGTTGCTGACCTGAGTCCACCGTGTTGATCCTGCATTCACCCACCACAACCTGCTGCTGCATCACGAGCCCAGATTCGAATACCCCAGATCGAAAATAGCTTGACCCACAACCCATGGATATGCACGTTGCCACAACAACCATCCTTCTGACTTGCCACCACCTCATTGCCTGCACCGCTTTGCCGTCTGAGGTGTTCCCTAGATTTCTGCAACCTACATCATACCCCTCTAACCGTGCCACCACCTCGATGTGAACCCACACCCATCTGGAAGTGCATCCACAAAGACCTGCAGCTGCTCCAGATCATATTACGTTTGTTTATTCGAATCTGCACATTGATTGAGGACCCTCGAAAAAGGGCAAACATACAAAAAAAATAAAATAAAATAAAATAAAATAAAAATTTGTGGCTGTTTTTTTTAGGCCCACAAGACCAAGGAAACATTTGATGGTTGGGCGTTTCTAAGATGTGTGGACGAAGCATGCGAACCATCCATGCAGACAAGGATCTAACGACTGAAATGGATGAGCTCACCAGTAGAATCAGGTCGCTATGGCCTGGTGCATTTAGAAAATTTTAAATTTTTTTTATTCAGTTAACATGTTTTGTCTAAGGAAGGGAACCAGGGAGCAAGCGGGAAAGATGGGTTGGCCTTTCCGTACACTGAAGAGGGAAAGAGAGGCAGAGAGAGGGAGTGGGAGTTTGGAACAGATTTGAGGAGGATTGAAGCTGGGTTGTAGCTGCGACCCAATAATTCGCTACTTTAATTTTTTTTTTGTTTGGTGGGTGTGTTTTTTTGGGCAAGGGAGAGGTAGATTAGGGTTGTCTCTGTTAAAGATTGCAAGAATCAAGGATGAAGATTTGGTCTTATAGCAGCTGTATAGGAAAGTATCATTGTAATATTTAGTTTCTGTTCTTGTAAGTCAACTTATTCTTACCTATTTTAGCATGCACTCATGTATATAAGTGTGCGTTGTAAACCTCATTAAGTAATCAATATAGAAAACCTAATTGGTTTTTCTACATGGTATCAGAGCACTAATCTTGGGACCAAAGAAAATAACAAACCCTAGCCGCCTATCATGGCAGAGAACGATGACAAACTCAAGCCCTCTGGTTCAACGGAGGGAACCACGTTTGACGTTAATCATTCTTATTACCTGCATCATTCCGATCAGCCGGGAATGATGCTCGTTTCTCAGCCGCTCACTCCAGACAACTACAACACTTGGAGCAGGGCGATGATCGGTGCATTGAAAGCCAAAAACAAACTTAGTTTTGTTGATGGAACCTTCAAGAAACCAGAACAAAAGGTTGCTGCAGCAGACTTGCATCAGTGGGATCGATGTAACAGCCTGGTTAAAACATGGTTGGTAAATTCAATATCACCAGAACTTCAATCAAGCATCATTTACTATGACCTTGCATACCAAGTTTGGGAAGACTTGAAAGAACGGTTTTCTCAAACAAACAATATGCAGTTATACCATATTGAAAGTGCAATTCATGATTGTGTCCAAGGAGCAATAACCGTAAGTTCCTACTTCACCAAACTCAAGGCGTTGTGGGATGAGAGAGATGCTGCGATTAGCCTACCCGATTGTGACTACAACACTTTGCAACATGTGTTGGCATTCTAGCAAAATCAAAAGGCAATTAAATTTCTTATGGGACTTAATGAAACATTCAGTGCAGTAAATGATCAAATTCTGTTGATGGATCCACTTCCTCCCGTCAACAAAGTATACTCCCTTGTGCTGCGACATGAGAAGCAGCATAACACCACCACAGGCAAAACGCCAGTTTAGGAAGCTGCTGCCTTTGTTGCAAAAGGACCAAATTCTAGCAAGAAGGGTGCTGATATGAAATGTACTCGTTGCAACAAAGATAATCACACCTCTGAAGATTGTCATGCCCATTTAAAGTGTGATTATTATGGATGGAAGGGTCATACGATAGATTATTGTCAAAAGCTTAAAAGGACAGATCCGGAGCAACAAAGAAGTCATTCTAAACAGCAGCGACCGAGAGGAAATAACGTTTCAAGCAACCTTGAAAGGCAAGATTTGGGAAATTCTTTCCCTTTTACACCTGACCAATGCAAGCAGATCTTGACCATGCTCAATGGCAATAAAGCCAAGGCAAACAACGTTGGTAAAATATCCTCTCTAAATGATCTCTCAGGTAAAGCTTTTTCTTTCACTTCTCATGATCAGAAGTCATCATGGATCTTGGATAGCCGTGCCACAGACCACGTAATTTCCTCTTTTGTGCCTGTTAAAAATAAAACCGTAAAACTACCAGATGGTTCTTATGCTACTGTGACACATATAGGAACCATGCAGTTTTCCCCAGATTTTATCTTACATGATGTCCTTTGTGTCCCCACGTTCCAACTCAACCTCATCTCTATCAGTAAACTTGCATATCAGTCCTCGTGCATCACCATTTTTCTAAGTTACTTTTGTGTGATTCAGGACCTTCGTTCGGGGAAGATGATTGGGACGGGGACTGAGCGAGAAGGCCTATATTTCTTGGATGACACCAACGGGAGACCCACATTGTCCACTTGTCATGCTGTTACGAAAGCTTCATCCCAACTCTGGCATCAACGCCTAGGGCATCTCTCTGACAAAGCCCTTCATCATACTTCACTTCCTAAAAATATTATTGGTTCTTTTGTTTCGAATAATTGTCTTGTGTGTCCTCTAGCCAAATAAACAAGATCTCAGTTTTCATTAAGTTCAATTTCAACTAGTAAGCCTTTTGAACTATTACATATGGATATTTGGGGGGCGGGGGGGGGGGTGTTTTCGTGTTGCTTCACTCACTGGAGCACATTATTTCCTCACCATTGTTGATGACTACACTCGTTCCACTTGGATTTACTTAATGAAACACAAATCTGACACACGACATTATTTGACAAGTTTTATCAATCTCATTGAAAACCAGTTTTCTCACAAAGTGAAGACCATTAGGAGTGACAATGGTCCCGAATTTAATCTTGCTGCATTCTACTCGACCAAGGGTATTATCCATCAAACCACTTGTGTTGCCAGTCCACAACAAAATGGAGTGGCTGAACGTAAACATCGTCACCTCCTCAACGTTGCCCGGGCCTTACTTATTCAAGCAAACTTACCTACCAATTTATGGGGAGAAGCCATACTCACCGCAGCTTATCTCATCAATCGTACGCCCACCATCGTCTTGCATGGTAAAACACCTCACGACCTTTTGTTCCATAAACCACCTAAATACTCCCATTTGAAAGTTTTTGGCTGTTTATGTTTTGCATCCACGCACCCATATCATCCGTCCAAATTTGATGCGAGGTCTACCCCATGCATATTTCTTGGTTACCCCTATGGCAAGAAAGGGTACAAAGTCTATGATCTTAACACACGTCAAATTTTTGTCTGACGTGATGTACTTTTTCGTGAACATACCTTCCCCTCTACTCATTCTTCCGCACAACACTCTGATACCAACCCTAAACCAACCTTACCATATCTATCTCCCATGGATGATCTCTCTTTTGATCCGCCCAGTACCACACCTCCCACTCCCATCGTCGACGACCCTTCTTCTCCTAGAGACACCATTCCCGACCCTCCACACCTGCTACCATACCTCCACCTCCAAACCCCATTCCTTCTCCAGCTGACATACCACCAACCCTACCACCCCAACTTTCCCGACGTTTGTCTTCCCGCATCACTCGACCACCTTCTTACCTTCAACAATTTCATGTTGGTGTCCCGCTGCCTTCTCGTCCTCACCAATCATCGGCCTCTACCGTTAGCTCACATAAAGGTAGTACCTCTCACCCTCTTTCTCACTCTTTAACTTATCCTCCCTTGTCTCCCACTCACTGTGCCTTCACCACATCTCTTTCCCTTGTCAAAGAGCCCCACATTTACCTCCAGGCTATCCAGGATCCTAAATGGTGCCAAGCCATGCACGATGAGGTTACTGTTCTTGAAGCCAACCACACCTGGACCCTTCAACCTCTTCCTCCTGGGAAGAAACCCATTGGTTGCAAATGGATCTACAAAGTCAAACTCAATCCCGATGGCTCAGTGGAATGCTACAAAGCACGCTTGGTTGCCAAAGGTTATACACAGGTCGAAGGCCTCGATTACACCGAGACATTTGCTCCAGTTGCTAAATTAGTCACGGTTCGATTATTGCTTGCTGTTGCTACTGCCAAAGGTTGGCATTTGTATCAACTTGACGTCAATAATGCTTTCCTCCATGGTGATTTACTTGAGGATGTTTACATGCGACTTCCACCTGGATACGGACGAAAGGGGGAGACACGAGTATGCAAACTTCAGAAGTCTCTCTATGGGTTTAAACAGGCTTCGAGACAGTGGTTCCTTAAGCTTTCTTCTGCACTCAAGGCGCAGGTTATCGCCAGTCCAATGCGGATTATTCTTTGTTCGTCTGATCCAAAGGTACCAGCCTTACTATTATTCTAGTGTATGTGGATGATGTGATATTGGCAGGCAACGATTTACCATTTATTGAGAAGATAAAGGAGTTCTTGGCTAACAAATTCAAACTCAAAGACCTAGGAAAATTGAAGTATTTTCTGGGCATCGAAGTTGCAAGGTCATCTCAAGGTATCTCATTATCACAACAAAGTATGCCTTAGATATATTGGAGGATACTGGTTTTCTTGGAGCAAGGCCGGCACGGTTTCCCATGGATCAAAACTTGACATTCACACAAACAGATAGAGAGTTACTGGAAGACCCATCTGCATATAGAAGACTTGCTGGACGTCTAATTTATTTGGCAATAACACGGCCAGATCTTGTTTACTCTGTCCACATTTTAAGTCAATTCATGGACAAGCCTAGACTGCCGCATTTAGATGCAGCGCACCAAGTTTTGAGGTACATAAAAGGGTCACCAGGGCAAGGCATCATGCTTCACTCAACAAGCTCACTTTAGTTGAAAGCATATTGCGACGCAAATTGGGCAAAATGCAAAGACACAAGAAGGTCAGTTTTGGGGTATTGCATCATGCTTGGAGATTCACTCATATCTTGGAAAACAAAGAAACAAACCACAGTAGCGAGATCAACAGCGGAGGCAGAATACAGAGCCATGGCGTCTACATGTTGCGAGATAACTTGGTTGAAGTATGTGCTTAGTGATTTATGTGTCCATCACTCACAACCAGTTATTTTGTTTTGTGATAACCAAGCTGCACTTCATATTGCATCCAACCCCGTGTTCCATGAAAGGACAAAACATATCAAAATCGCTTGTCATTTGATTCGAGAAAAGATACAAGAAGGAGTTGTCCAAACTGCTCATGTACGAACTCTACAACAATTGGTAGATTTATTCACCAAGGCATTGAGTACCTCCCAGTTTGAAAGTCTTCTTAGCAAGTTGAGTGTAATCAACATACACTCCAACTTGAGGGGGAGTGTTAAAGATTGCAAGAATCAAGGATGAAGATTTGGTCATATAGCAGCTGTATAGGAAAGTATCATTGTAATATTTAGTTTCTGTTCTTGTAAGTCAACTTATTCTTACCTATTTTAGCATGCACTCATGTATACAAGTGTGCGTTATAAACCTCATCAAGTAATCAATATAGAAAACCTAATTGGTTTTTCTACAGTCTCCTTTGGGAAAGAGGGGCAGATAGAGAAGTGTTGAAAGGTGTGTGTTGTGCTCAATTTATAACGGATTGAAGTTGTGCTTGGATTGTAGTTGAAACAGTTCATTGATCCACAACCTCAACAGAAACCCAGATTGTGAAGGTGAATGTTTGAATAATTGCAGAACTTATGTTATAAAGCATTTCCATTCCAGTGTGGCATTTATTTATTTATTTATTTTTTTAATTTGGGACTTGAAACCATAATGGTGGGTGGTTATCAGTGGATTTGGTTGAAATCATGAAAGTGGATTTTAGATATATAGGTGTAAAAGTTGTGCTGGCTTGTGATAAGTTGTGTTGTACTTGTGTAACTTTGTTGCAAGTAGACATTGAAGTATAATTCGATGAGGGGTGAGGTAGAAGTAGAAGAAATTGTTGTTGAAAGAGAAGATGTAGATGTAGGAGATGAATTAGGTGTAGGGAGGGATGAATTTGTTGTCCAAGAGGAGATGAAAAGTTGAAACCCAAATTAAGAATGGAGTTTGATTCGTTAGATGAAAGGTATAGGTTTGACAACAATTATGCACTTGCAGCGAGGTTTGGGAGTCAGGAGCATAGTAGTAGAAAGTCTATTGATGGTGAATATTGGTTAAGGAAAGAATTTGTTTGTTGCAAACAAGGGAAGAAGAGGGACGAAGGTAATCCCAAACCCAATAAGAAAGGAAAAAGAGGAGATGCTAGAACTTAGTGAAGGTGAAACTTGTGCTGAATAAGGGAAGAAGTTTGTTGCAACAGTTTTCAATGAAAGGCACAACCACCCTATGTCAAGTGTGTCAAACTTATTTAGATCACATCGTCGAGTTTCGAAGGCAAAGAAGGCGATGATTGAACAATGTGCAAAGGCCAATATTTCCATAAGTAAACAAGTGGCTTTGTTGGAGGTGCAAAGTGGAGGAATTGGAAATATTGGTTGCATCCCCAAGGATATTTACAACGTGGAACAACAGTTGT